TCCGGCTAGAAGTCGAAATCACATCTTTCAGGTTGGAGTTTAAACGTTCACAGTTTTCAATTTCTGTCGAGTTGCGATATAACATGACTATGACTCAAGGTCTTCCGTTAACACCCACTTAACTTCCGACTGGTTAACCCCATAGATCACAAATTCTCATTAGAACTTAGGGATATACGTTTGGAATCAAGTCAGTAGTAAGTAGCATACAGTAATGTAGTTTAAAGTTATGAGAAGTTTAATTTCGAAGTAATATTCATCATAGACTGATATCAGTCGAAGGAACATTGAAAACCTAGAAGCACTTGTGAACAATAAATCCTCACAAACCCCCAAACTCAACTCCTACATTTTCAAAGAGAAATCGTGACCTCTGGAGTAAACCTGGTAGACGTGAGGACAAATACTCAACGATCATATTGGTTGATGGTCTCGCCATGTCGTGAACTGATAGAAATTGGAAATATGGACCATTGGGTTCCGACCCAGTGATTTAATGATGACGTGCTAACCACGGAACCTATAGTTGGCGGGTTCGATCCTTGGAGGGACGGGCTGGGATCATGGGTATGCACTGCTGAAGAATCCTATACAAGGATGAAACAGCTTTGCAGTGCTACAAGGTTCCCAGTGTTCTTCCAAATAATATAAGTCCCAGATGAATCGTAACTTCGAATCAATCAAGCCGAGTCTACTGTTCAGTCAAAACACTAATCAAGTTATGAAGAGAAAGGAGGGGGTTATAAACAATAATTATTGTTCTTGAGTAAGTCAGGAAGATGATAAGTTTGAGAAATCACGATGCTATAACTAGTCAACAGAGTTATAAAACGGGGATTTAAAATGGGAACTATAATAAAATGAAACAGGTCATTCCTAGGTGAATGGTATAGTAACAGGTAGAGTGAATTGAGTGTTCTTTTTTCTCGAGTGGATAATTTATTATATCGGAATAATAAAGCAAATGAATATTTCGACAAAACAATAAGAAGACATAAATTGTCTGAACTGTGTAATGTGCATTTGCGCAACACATTTCGAACTATCTGATCACACACACACACGTACTTGTCATAGGTATTTATATAAAAAAACTCATGAAGATAAGGGGTGAGAAAATAAAAAGGGGTCAGTTAGGAAGGCTGACTTAAAGGCCGAATAACAATGAAAATCAATAGAGCGAAAAAATAATAGTACATCGAACTTGGTTTTCAACAGTTGAATTTACCCAAGGAAGATTTAATGTGACAACAAATTGTTTATGAATACATAAAGGTGATTTCAACTTCCTAATAGCTAAGGCTTCAACAAACTTAAGGTTCCCTCTCCAACATGTTTTGTAAATAGGTGTAAAAGAAGTAGCCATATCAATCTTGTGACCTGTCTCAGCGATATGTTTAGCGATCGAAGAACTTGGACGTCTGCTACCAACATTTATAGGTTCAGGTGATTTAATTTGCTTCTGAAACCACTTTGGAATATGTTCCGAGGCCTTTACTTGCATGGATCTATTAGTCCCCCCTATGTATGTGTCACCACACGTACATTTGAAGTGGTAGATACAATGGGATGTGACATTATCGTTCACATGCTGTGGGGGTTTGGGGGAATATAAGGGCTTCGTGGTTTCGATTACTCGAACCCTGGCTGCATAGTAAGTCCTTCTAACAGCAGCGTTAAGTCTCTGCTTAAGGATTGCACTCTGAGAGTCACCTTTGTATGGAAGGCTGATGAAGACATCCTTCTTTGGGACTGACTGCAGTTCTAGTTTTGACGCTCTGCTGATTTTGTTCTACCTGATAAATGTTGATAAATGTTCCAAAGTGGCTTCAGAAGCAAATTAAATCACCTGAACCTATAAATGTTGGTAGCAGACGTCCAAGTTCTTCGATCGCTAAACATATGGTTGAAACAGGCCACAGGATTGATATGGCTACTTCTTTTACACCTATTTACAAAACATGTTGGAGAGGGAACCTTAAGTTTGTTGAAGCCTTAGCTATTAGGAAGTTGAAATCACCTTTATGTATTCATAAACAATTTGTTGTCACATTAAATCTTCCTTGGGTAAATTCAACTGTTGAAAACCAAGTTCGATGTACTATTATTTTTTCGCTCTATTGATTTTCATTGTTATTCGGCCTTTAAGTCAGCCTTCCTAACTGACCCCTTTTTATTTTCTCACCCCTTATCTTCATGAGTTTTTTTATATAAATACCTATGACAAGTACGTGTGTGTGTGTGTGATCAGATAGTTCGAAATGTGTTGCGCAAATGCACATTACACAGTTCAGACAATTTATGTCTTCTTATTGTTTTGTCGAATTTTATCAAGGGAACTAATTGTTTCAAATGAATATTGATAGACCGCGAGAGGAGGAAGAAGTGTAAAACTTAATACCAAAAGTTACGTCATGTTGACGTCCACAGTCATGAATACAGCACTGTGCGATGCAGGTTCCGATCTCATGCAGGACATCAGTTCCGTCAAGGTTACACATATGCCTTGCTGATAAGTACCAACAAACACGAAACCGAGGTTCAGAGTTTCCTGCTCATTGCCTCCAACCAACTAACAAACAGGAGTGTAAATGGGGTAGGATTGTTAAAAAACATGAAAAAAGCTAAGAAGTCACTAGGGTGAGTGATTAACAATCAGTAAGTAATTAATCAAAAGATGATGCAATCAAAATGATTGGAGACTATGTACACACACACACATCCAAACTTTGTATGCAGTTATCAGGCTAGAGAAAGGTTAATTATAATCTCTTTCTGAGTAGAAAAATTAGGTTGAAAATGTTTGATGGACAGAGCTTCCATGAGTCGTAATAAACATAGCGTTCTTCTTTTGTTGACTATCCTGATGGATTCAGACACATCTATTCAATGTCCTGTTTCTATCAAGCGCTAAGGCTGTAGCTAGTAAACCCCGGATGGAACAATTTTTTTTACCTTGATAACCTAATTTCTTTACTCTTCTTCTTGTTTGATGACATCATCTTTTGATTGAAGCTTTTTATGTTGCCACAAAAAATATTGATCATTTTACCGACTGAATTTAACTGATCATATTGTTACACAATTTGGTATTCACCATGGACTGACATCAGACGAAAGAATATTGGATACCTGAGAGCATTAGATAACTATCTTTTCCTAGTATGGGACTCCTCAGCAGTGCACACCCACTACCCTGCCTCGCTAGAGATTGAACCCAGAACACTCAGGTTTAGCGGCTAGCATGTTACTGTTGAGCTAGCCACTGGGGTTGCAATTCAGTGGTCCATATTTCTAACTTCTATGCTTATTGATGACTAAATTTGAGAGGTGATTGCTGAGCCTCCAATGAGGCGAACCTGGTGGCCGTGAGGACACGTAGTCAACAGTGACAATGGGTGGCGGTCACACTATCTCCTGAACTAACAGAAGTTAGAAATATGCACTATTGGATTTCGACTCAGCGATGAGCCCATGGTCAGTACCAACTTGAAATCACTAAGTCCCTACAAACGCCCCAAATTAAACAAGATCAGTTTAAGATCATGAATATCCGACAGTATCATGTCATCCACATATAAGGCCATCTGCTTACAGAGGTCTAGCTGTTCAGCTCTGTATAATAACGGAAAATTATAAGTATCATAACAACAACAACAACAACAAGTGAAACCGGTTGCACAAAAGGTGAATAATGTGCCCCAGCAGCTTAGATTGTTTGAAGCGATGGGTACTGGTTTCAAGGCTAGTTAGTGGGGACAACATCACTTACTATTGTGTAAGTACTTCCCAAATAGGATGAAACGCTCGTTCTAGATTCCTCTACTAGTCACCAAGACCAATATAATATATCGTTTCTTGTTAACTAACTTCATTAACTATCAAAAAGTATGTTCTAACTATTTTATTTAAATGTTTTAGCCTGTAAGCAACTAATGAGAATCCGGGCAGAATAGAATGACACTAATTACTGGTTTTTTCACAACTGATCAATCTTTTTTTACATTTAAACTAAATCGAGTAATATAAAATTTTGTTCTCTCCTAAAGAGATAACACCTTAATGAGTAAATAAATAAATGGAAAAATTCTTATGGATTGACAATGATGTTATTGTCTATAGTAATATTGAAATATTGGCCAACTAAAACTTTTGCTCAAAAGATAAACTACACTGAACAGTCATTTATATCCTGAACTATAAGTATTCACAACATAATACTTAATTTGTATAATGTCTTAAGAATAATATGATCAATTCCAGCCTGAAATAATCTTGTACACTTAGATCAACATTCCAGTAGACCAGTAGACTATGATTAGTGTTCAGCATAAGATAGGTCAGAATCGGAAAAGCAAGACAGGCATTCATTAGCCTGAAACCAGTGTGGAGATCTTCTGCACTCAGCATGCGGAACAAGATACGGATTTTCAACACCAACGTCAAGTCAGTGCTCTTGTATGGCTCAGAGACTTGGCGCGTCACGAAAGGCATTTCCAATAAACTACAGACATTCATCAACAACTGCTTATGCTCGCTGCTGAAGATCAGATGGATTGCCAGAAAGAATAAGCAACAAGGAACTCTGGGAACGAACCAACCAAGAACCTATGAGGCAACAAATATGCAGGAAGAAGTGGAGATGGATTGGCCATGCACTGAGAAGGCCGACTGAGGACATCACGCGTCAGGCCCTCGAGTGGAATCCCCATGGGAAGCGACGAGTTGGACGTCCGAGGGTGACATGGAGGAGGTGATGCGAGGAGGAAATGAGAGCTTGTGGGCTGTTGTGGAACCAAGTTCAAAAGATCTCAGAGAACAGAGGTCACTGGAGGCGTGCTACTGAAGCCCTATGTTCCACTAGGAACCCAAGGGACTAATAATAATAATAATAATAAGATAGCTAATTTGTAATCAATACAAAAGTTTTATTCAAGTATACAGTCAATCTTGATTTCTTTATTTGGTGTTATACTCTTTGTCTATTTTTTTTGTTTTAGTTAGCTATGGGATTGATATTAAGTGGAAATACATCAGCAAAATTAATTGGAGGTGCACAAAGTCTACTCAGTCATGTTGGTGGTCAAGTTGTACCAGGGAAAATATTATCAGTAAGTTGTATTTTTATGAGATAATTTTCATAAAAATGATTTCAGTGTATTCTATATTAGATTTGTTTATTTGATATATTTTGAGGAAGTTGTGAGGATTTACAAATATTTCAAGATGTTATTCATAGTAGACTGACATCAGTTTGAAATATGCACCAGTGGATTCCGTTAACTCAGTGGGTCAACGGTAAGGTGCTGGCCCCAGAACCTGGAGGTCACGGACTCGATCCCTAGCCGGGTATTGGGTGCGCACTGCTGAAGAGCCTCACAATAGGATGAAACAGCTGTCCAGTGCTCCCAGGTTTCCTTTGTTCCTCCAACTGATGTCAGTCTACGATGAATAATAACTCGAAATATTTGATGTATAACACACAGTGATACAGTATACTACTTACTGGATGACGTTTCGAGCATAGATTACTATTGCTCACAATCATATCAATGTGTAATCACATTCCTTTCAACATATGATTTTTATAGTCCTATCAACCACCTCTTATTCTTTATTTCTATTGGTAGTAAAGTTTTCCATATCTCTGGTATGCATGCGATGGGTGTTGCATAATTTGTATTACATGTGTTGGATGAGTGTTGATTGGATGAATGAAGATTCAGTAATCGATCTCTCCCTTTTTCCACTTAATGATATTGAACTTAAGCACAGTGGCTTTATCCCACCCACGCCATTGTGCATTGCGATAGCCGAGTTACTTTCTAGATTAGTGATCTTATTGGGGTCTATCATTCTATACTTAGATAAATTCCCATGTTCCCCTTCTCGAACTGACCCCGACCGCATACTTTGACCTATGTAGTTGACCTGACTCACAGTCATTACATGCAGTTTGATAGATTAGATTATTTTGTTGAATTGGTTCTATCGGAGTCTTAAGCCAGCCGACAAAGCTTACCTCTGAGTAAGTTTGCAGGTTTGAATGCCATCCCAACTAATTCCAACTTTGTTGATGATCCCAAGTAAAGTTTCTGATGTACCTTCCTTGTAGAGTAATACAGTGCTGGCCATGAACTCCATTCTTCTCACACATATAGACTCAGTAGTAGTCGCAATCCAATTCACTTACGAGGAAGTAGAAAATGAACAAGGAGAGTTACCTACCTTTGATTTCAGGATAAAACGAAGAACAGACTGTGGTTCGGATACTACCTACCGTCTACAGAAAACCAACACATTCTAACAGGTATTCTAGACTTCAAGTCATGTCATCCAATGTCAGTCAGTGAAAGCAGGTTCAGTCAAATATCTAAATGATAGAGCTAGAAAACTCACTAATCAGTGGAAGGACTTCAACGAACAATTGAAACATGTAAAAGGAGCCTTAATAATTATCCTCTACAGTTTACTAAGGGATTCGTACAAATACATAAGAAACGAAATAATAACGATGAGACAAGTAGAAAGGAGTTCACAGTCTCCATTGTCTTACCCTACCAAGAAGCAACATGAGAAACTTTGCTTAGGATCATCAACAAAGTTGGAATTAGTTGGGGTGGCATTCAAACCTACAAACTCACTTAGAGATTAGCTTTGTCGGTTGGCTTAAGACTCCGATAGAACGAATTCAACAAAATAATCTAATCTATCAAACTGCATGTAATGACTGTGAGTCAGGTCAACTACATAGGTCAAAGTAGGCGGTCGGGGTCAGTTCGAGAAGGGGAACATGGGAATTTATCTAAATATAGAATGATAGACCCCAACAAGATCAATAATTTGAAACAGTCAATTTTATGAATTTCGATAGCGTAATTAGAAGACGAAGTTAATCCCAACAATATTTCTGATGTGTTTTGCGCAATACATTTCGAACAATCTGATCACACATTTACTTTTCAAGTCAAATATATATTAAACTGAGGATTGGGGAAGGGAGAAACAAATACAACAATTAACACAATTGTAGGGGATTAAAATTAAGAAAGATGAGAACAAACAGGAAGTGATATAGTTGGTCTTAATCTTCGTAAGAAAACAAAGTTTACCAAGGTGGGTGTAGTGTAATAACAAACTGTTTTTGTACAAATAAAGGTGGTTTAAATTTGTGTATGGCTATGGCTTTCGCAAATCTCGGAATACGTCCCTGACTGTTTCTATATAAAACTTTGAAAGCTGAAAGGTGAGTTGGATCCCATGGAGACTCCGATAGAACGAATTCAACAAAATAATCTAATCTATCAAACTGCATGTAATGACTGTGAGTCAGGTCAACTACATAGGTCAAAGTAGGCGGTCGGGGTCAGTTCGAGAAGGGGAACATGGGAATTTATCTAAATATAGAATGATAGACCCCAACAAGATCAATAATTTGAAACAGTCAATTTTATGAATTTCGATAGCGTAATTAGAAGACGAAGTTAATCCCAACAATATTTCTGATGTGTTTTGCGCAATACATTTCGAACAATCTGATCACACATTTACTTTTCAAGTCAAATATATATTAAACTGAGGATTGGGGAAGGGAGAAACAAATACAACAATTAACACAATTGTAGGGGATTAAAATTAAGAAAGATGAGAACAAACAGGAAGTGATATAGTTGGTCTTAATCTTCGTAAGAAAACAAAGTTTACCAAGGTGGGTGTAGTGTAATAACAAACTGTTTTTGTACAAATAAAGGTGGTTTAAATTTGTGTATGGCTATGGCTTTCGCAAATCTCGGAATACGTCCCTGACTGTTTCTATATAAAACTTTGAAAGCTGAAAGGTGAGTTGGATCCCATGGAGGGTTAGAGTGAACTGATGTCACTCGATGGTGACGAATACTACCTTAAACTAATAGATTAAAATAAATGGAAAATGATTATATTTGTAAATAAAACAGTAGGAAAAGAATAACTGGTCAAGATCCAATGCAAAGTGAACCACAAACTCTTTTCATAAATATAGAAGTTTGGTTTCAGTCGACGGATTGCGGCTGCTGTTGCTGCTTCTGCCCAAAGTGGTAATCTCTGTCTACTGATCACCTTGAAAACTATATTTTAGTCGACCTACATCGAGGATGTGTTTACTGGTGACACCATTAAGTCTAGCCTTCGACCTCTCAATGATAAGTTTTTCATAGTCTAATGTATTTTGTTACTTGTTCCTTTTGTTTAGTTAATTAGATCGTCAATTTTGTCAATCATTTCTGTTCCCCTTATATATGTGGGTTTAAATCTAGTGCGTAAGTGGATGGTTTATACCTTTGCCTATTTTTGTCTAACCTTTAAGTATCGTTTGACTTACGGACTTGTTAATTTCAACAACTATAACCAAACAAGCCGCGGAAGGTTCTGAACGTTCTTACTTCGACCCCTGTCGGGGTTATGGATATGTATTGTTGATGACTCCGAGACCGAAACGAAACGGCTGACTGTTCAGTCCCAACTTAAATCCAAATACCCTAAAATTTTGTTCAAACTGAGAAATAATATCTGAATTTCAACAGTGTCTATCATCTATAGTTTAACACGGAAAACTTGTTTTCATTTGAAAAGAGGACAAAAAAAATTGTCTCGGGATGAAAATTGTGCAAATTTTCAGAAGAGTACTTTAATCCTCATGTTATCAAAAGGTAATTATGCTGGTTGGTATCTTAAAAGGTGATTTTCTATCACTACACCTCAACTAATTGGATGGTCACTGATATTCACGTACAAACTCATTTAACTGCTTATATATACAAGCACATACATAGAAGGGATATTTAGTTGCTGATAAACTGATATAAAGTAGTACGCATACAAATATGTTGAACATTAATTATGTGATTAATTTTATCTGGATTAATTTTAACCCCTTTCTTTCATTTTATCATTCTTTTATATCCTTTTATCCTTTCCTCTTTTCGTTAAATTCCACCCTAATACTTGATTATTACTTACTTACGTTACCTGAAATCTATAGTGCATCCTTAATCTCTACGTTATATGTTTCCTGTTTATTTCTCTTCCAGTGATTTGGAAGTGAGTTGAAGGGCGAGTGAGTGTTTGAGTGAGTGGGTTAGTGAGTGAGTGAGTGAGAGAGTGAGAGAGTGATTGATTGATTGATTGATTGAGTGAGTGAGTGAGTGAAAGGGTCAGACCAGCACAGTGTTCCTAAGGTAATTCCATCAAACATGTGTACTGCTACGAAGACACCTGTTGTCGAAACCCAGTAATCAGTTCATGTCTCTTACTTCTAACGAGTGTCTCACAGCCGTACAACAGGACACAACGGAATGAGGTAACGCAGTATGTTCGTTATTTGATAGATAGTTGGACATCTCGCCAGTCAATGCCACTGATTACGCAAACTGGAAAATGCCAAACACGCGTTCTCTATCTCAGGTGAAATCTCGTCAACAAGCCTGTTAGCGTTAATGCAACTCCCCAAGTAAGTAAGTAAGTAAGTCAGCTGGTTTGTTTAAACTAGGAGTTGGCGTAGAATATTCCTGGAGCATCATCTCACACCTAATAAGTGTCAAATTATGTCCGAAGTGTAATTCAGTAGACACTACTGTTCATTCACTGTATGATAAATCTAATAAATCAATAAAAAAGGGAATCGCATTCTACCATAGTACACAAGTATTACTCTTATTTTAATAGTCTCAAAAGTCTAACTGACTCATACTTGGGAACTCAATAGAATTTATGAAGTAACTAGTCTTCATCTTGTGAATTTTCTGTTATCAGTTAGTTGGCAAAAAAGAAATGATACATTTTTGAAATGAATGGGGATTTTTAATTTAGAAGTAGTATTAATCATGGACTGACATCAGTTGGGTAACCATTGAAAATCTAGGAGAACTGGACAGCTGTTTCGTCCTAGGGATCGAACTCAGAACCTTCAGGTTTCACGGCGAACGCGTTAACCATTCAGCCCCACTGGGTCGGTATTCAGTGGTTTACAATTTCCAACTTCTATCAATTCAAGACATAGCGTGACTATCACCCATAGATTACTGTATAGCCCTCATTAGCGACTTGCTTCCAGATGGTTATCACGAAGCTCTAATGAGAAGCCGTGACCAATGAGGTCAACCAGTCGGAAGTGAAGTGGATGCTAACTGAAGACCTTGGGTGACAGTCACGCTATGTCTTGAATTGATAGAAGTTGGAAATTGTAAACCACTGAATACCGACCCAGTGGGGCTGAATGGTTAACGCGTTCGCCGTGAAACCTGAAGGTTCTGAGTTCGATCCCTAGGACGAAACAGCTGTCCAGTTCTCCTAGATTTTCAATGGTTACCCAACTGATGTCAGTCCATGATTAATACTACTTCTAAATTAAAAATCCCCATTCATTTCAAAAATGTATCATTTCTTTTTTGCCAACTAACTGATAACAGAAAATTCACAAGATGAAGACTAGTTACTTCATAAATTCTATTGAGTTCCCAAGTATGAGTCAGTTAGACTTTTGAGACTATTAAAATAAGAGTAATACTTGTGTACTATGGTAGAATGTGATTCCCTTTTTTATTGATTTATTAGATTTATCATACAGTGAATGAACAGTAGTGTCTACTGAATTACACTTCGGACATAATTTATTGTCCATAGTCGTCATATCAAGATACATACTTTATATAGTCCTAATTTCCTCACCCCTTTTGTGACCTGGGTAGTAAGATTTTCTGTGTATCCGGGATGAGGTGCTTAGTCATTCCTGTTGTTGCATACATCTGCTGTTGATTCGATGAACAAAGATTCAGTTATCAATCCCCCTCCCTTCATTCTGCTATATTAGTTTTAAGGATTTTCATCCTGTCCCATCTTGTTGTGTGGTTGCGTGTAATTGCATGCATAGAAATGGCTGAGCCTCTCCTTTCTAAATTCCTTACCTTACTAGGATTTATCAATTTTGACCTAGCTAGGTGTTTTGTGTTCGGATAACTTAATTGAACCTGGACGACTACTTTAACCTATGTATTTGACCTCATAATCGTTGCAAGAGATTTGCTTCATTGAGTCAATAGGATCTTTTAACATATACTGCTTATTTCGAAGTGAGTTTGTAGACTTAAATGTCACTCTAATCCAAATCAGCCTCATTGAGAATTCCACGTAGTATTTTCCAGGTGCCTTCTTTGTATGGTAATACTGTAGAGGTTTTAAATTCTCTCTTCACAATATTCCCGCTACTATTATTGACATCATTATCATTGTTGCTGTTATTGCCACTACCATTACTACTATTGATAGCTGTGTTACTGATATTTTTCTTACAATTCCTAAGGAGTTTATCAATTAATTTGGGAGGGTAATTATAGATGATTAAGGCGTCTTTAATGTATCTGGTTTCTTGTTTTAGATCTTCTGTTTTACTAGTAAACTTTTTGACCCTGTTACTCAGTCAACTTTAACTGATTCGACTTATGGACAACAGATTATGTCCGAAACGTAATCCAGTAAACAATACTGTTCATTCACTGTCTGAGAAATTTAATAAATCAGTAAAAATGGAATTTTGAGACTCTTGTTAATGACAATGTATAACTTAACAGTAAAAATAAGACTTTGTTTCATGGTAGTTTATGTTCATCAAGAATATATGAAATGTTGTAGGGATTCACAATGTTCTGAAGTTATGAGTTCATATCATACAAGGCAAAACTCATAGATATTACCTTAAAGCTGATTATCTTAGATTTGACTTTAAATACTCCTTGTAGTTGAGTTACTTTCCTAATTTCAGTAAACATGAACGATTCTTTAACCAATAAAGTTATATACTTTGCAAGAGTTTAAGTATTACCTTAAAATCTGTACAAAGAAGACTATTTGTTATCTCACTGATCTTAGCAGAGAGTAATTGATGTAAATTTGAACAAGTGAAGGAATATGACCTTTATATCAATCCTTTCATGTACATCAGAAGACACTTTATTGAAATATAATTGTCAGTGAAGTAAAAATCAGAATAAACTTTGTGTAGATGTAAATATTTGAGAATGGAGATCAGTTACTCCGTCATCGAATGTCTTAAATAGACGATAATGACCAGTTGAAGTGAAGATCTTGAAGATGTTGAGCTGAAATCTGAGTATGTTTGACATGCGTTTCACAGTTACTAGGTATGAGATGATGCTCCAGGAATATTCTACGCCAACTCCTAGTTTAAACAAACCAGCTGACTTACTTACTTGGGGAGTTGCATTAACGCTAACAGGCTTGTTGACGAGATTTCACCTGAGATAGAGAACGCGTGTTTGGCATTTTCCAGTTTGCGTAATCAGTGGCATTGACTGGCGAGATGTCCAACTATCTATCAAATAACGAACATACTGCGTTACCTCATTCCGTTGTGTCCTGTTGTACGGCTGTGAGACACTCGTTAGAAGTAGGAGACATGAACTGATTACTGGGTTTCGACAACAGGTGTCTTCGTAGCAGTACACATGTTTGATGGAATTACCTTAGGAACACTGTGCTGGTCTGAGCAAGAACACTGGACAAAACAGACAAATCGATTAATGAAGTTGTCAACTTTAGGCGTCTGGGATGGCTTGGACAGGTATGGCGCATGCTAAGCAACCGCCTACTCCAACGTGTAATCCTGGGTGATGTTGAATTAGGCTGACATGGGTCAAAGAAGGCGAGGCCTAGACTTGACGCCAGTCCATAAAGTCCCTGCCTGCTGATCTGAGCCATTCGGGGAGGCGTAGGCTACCCTGCTGGGGTCCTTGAGATTATTGGACATACTACGAAATTTGGCAGCTTGAGATGATGCACGTGTGTACGAGGTTCTACGTTGATTTTGTCAGTCAGTCAGTCACTCATCCACCATGTTCGTCGTAAGTCATCTAATCCGGTTTGTTTATTTTCAGTATTCAAAGCGTATTACACTCTACACACTTAGTGTGTATAAGTTTTTTTGGATTGGTAATCTTAGTCGATAAGCTTCTTATTTACCTGATAATATATGCAAATATTTCCATAATCAATTTTAGGATACAACACGTGAACCTGAAAAAGGACTTACACCTTATCAATGTGAATTACTTGGTATGTGTTTGAATACAATCAGAGTATACTTTCATGCTGGTGGTCGTGGATTGAAACGATCATTCCTTGAACGAAGTCCTGAATTGCATAGTCTACGTCAAGTTTTAGCTCTTTATTCACAAGCAACAGATGAATTATTAAGAGATTTTGTAGCAACACAAACTTCACAAGGTAGGTGTCATTTATTATTATTATTATTATTATTATTATCTTATAGACGTAACGTGTAATTGTTGTGACACTGGCTGCTTAGAGCATAGAGCTGTCTATTGGCTGGAAAATCATTTTTTGGAATTTATCTTTGTCATCGACATTGATGTAATACTATGAAGCAGTTAAAGAGAAGCTGTGACTTATGTAGTCGATTCAATTGAGCATTGAAAACAAATATTCACCAGTTACATGATGCCATGAATTAAGAGAAGTAGGAAACTATACACCTTTAGTTTCTCATGTTTTAGCTGAATAGTAATGTGATGACTGTGAAACCTACAAGGATCCCAGAATAAATTCTTTTGAGGGTTGTGATTGTACGTTGCGTTGAAGCGACAGGTGTTCAGTATCATCACATTTACAGCAGTTTCCTAACTGATCTCAGTCTATGATGAATATTATTTGATTTATTGATTTTTATTTTTCCCCGCAGTTCCCAGTGGAACATAGGGCTTCACTACCACGTCTCTATTTCACTCTCTTCTCTTCAGTCTTCTTCACCCCGCTCCACCAATACCCACAAACTTTCATTTCTTCCTCACACCATCTCCTCCAATATCACACTCACCTCGAATACACAACTCCTCGTTTCCCATTTCACTTCCACTCAACATCCTCACCTGGTCTCATGTGTGATGTCCTAAAATCATCTTCTCAGTCTATGCACAATCTAATCCATCTACACTTTCTTCGTATGCATATTTGTTGTTAGGCGATAGCTTCTTGCTTTATTTGGTTGGTTCGTTGACAGGAAAGACTTCCTTGTTGTCTATTCTTTCTCGCCTTCTCATCTCATCTCATCTCATCACACCTTCAGTATGGAGCTAGTGTAGGCGGTAGCTATTGATGAATGTCTGTAGTTTGTTGGAAATGTTTATGAACAATATAGAAGCATTGACTTGATGTTGGTGTTGAAAATCCGGACCTTGTTCACGCTTTATGCTGAGTGGAGTGGAGTGCAGTAGATCTCCACACTGATTTCAGATTATTGTGGGAATGCGTGTTTTGCCATCTTTCCAATGGTGGCTTTGATATCCTCATTTGTGTCTCTACCGCTGTTAGTAGTTGAAACGATGCTGCCTAGGTAGGTGGGTAGGTGGGTAGATGAAAGAGACTGGTGTTTGTTGTTGATGTCTTTGGTTGGGTATCTTCATCACCTTCGACTTCTCTACATTCACATGGAGTCCTGTTTTCGCTGCCTTTTCTGTCAACTTGTTGGTTTTCACCTGTATATCTTCGACTTTGTGCGATATTGGACACAAACCGTCGGTGAAAACCAAATGTTTTAGGGTCTTTTCAGCGGTCAAACAACGTATGCCCGTCTTCTCCCTCCTCAGGGTTTGCTGCATGATCCGGTTTACCACAATGAAGAAGTTCATGGGTGATAGTAGGCAGCCTTGTCTTACTCCTGTCTTCACTTCATAGCCTAAATGGAGATCATCATTCTGAGTAGTCGGTCGCTAAGGTAGAAATTTCAGATTTCAGTCTTATTTCATGTTACTATGTGGTCACGAAAATTTTATTGGACAGTTTTGTCCTACAGTTGACCAATCAAAATAAACTATTTAACCTTTGACCAAAGGGCCTTATATGTTGATGGAAACTGTACATAAATGATGTGTTTTTTGTTATGCTAAGTTGGCTTCATTAAAGTCACAGGCCTACTTTACCATCTGATATTTTCACGGCTTATTGAAATATCAGGTTACGCTTTGTATTCATTTCAATTGTCTTATTGAGTTAACAACATTTACATATTTCGTATTTTTTCTATCAGTTACTTTATTAACCCTCCCCAGCTTTTAATATTGTTCCCCTCGCCTCATCAGTGGCATTGATTGGTGTGTACATTTTACATTGTATCCCCTGGTTATAATTATATTTGCTTCTATAAAAATGTGTATCCGGTAGAAATCAATCTCAGTTTAGCTATTACCGGCTTGACAAACTTAAAAAGGACTCTTTAGTTTTCAATTCTTAAAAATATTTTTTATCCATCTGGCTAATGGCTGATGAGATTAGGCTGAAACCTTTTATTTTGAAAACAGGCTACATCATAATCTGACACAGATTAAAGTAAAGCTAAAAATTATCGAGATTGATAAGAAGCTGTTTACTTCTTAGTTGGTTATGTTCATCTCAAATCATCAAACCACCCAGCCACACAAATCGGAATGTTAAACTTCAGCTGTCCGGTGAAATAAACCCTATCGACACCGACTATCGTCAACTAATGAGCATTTATGCCCAATACACGTTTGGCTCTGTATCAGGCCATGCGACTGGCTAACTCACTGTTACCTAAAGAAATCATAGTCATATGGTCTAGCTGAATTTCACACAACTACAACATCCTAACTTCTGTGTAATTTATAGAAACGGTATTTTATCATACATACCATCAGTTGACCAAACTACTTGTTTAGCTTTTAGTTTGTTTAAATGTGTTGTCTGCTTCATTATTTAAAATCACCTGATGAGCTTGGATCAAAGCACCCGGAACAGATGTTGCTTAGTTACATCACTTTGATGTCTTTAGAGAACAATGCTTATCAACATATGTGTAGTAAAAAGATTCATGTCAGCCTATAGCTTATATCCTGAAGAAATAAAGTATGTGTTTAAGAAAGAAAAAACATCTAGCCAACTATACTACTAATATTGTAAGATGAGTAGTTCCATTTTCCGGACTGATGTCGTTTCTGATTGGTAAACTTTACATTTCATAAATTATCAGAAAAAGCTGTTCATATTTGAGTTAGATAAGAGAATAATTTTACATTTGAGTACAAGATGGAGATGTGATAGTATAGATCGTAAAACCATTCACAGGAATGACACAGGGTCAGTACCTTCACTATATATTAGTTGCTGTCCTTTCAGCTATAAACGTGGTTCAGTCAGGATGCTATTCACTAAAATAAAAACGCTGTGCTCAAAAGATAAACCAGAAGAAGAATTCAGGATAATTGAAAAGGCTGTTATAGACAATGGATATCCAAAGAAATTCATCATGAAGTATGGAAAAAACTTATTGAAGGACCAAAACATTCAACTGTTGAGAAGCCTATTTTCCTTCGCCTAGCATCCAAAGCTCATGAGATATCTGAAAGGACAGACAGAAGAATAAAAGCTGCAATGACAAGGCGCTTCCCCGTTCTCAGACTGATCTCAACTTTCAATACAATATGTTCAGTAAAGCAATCGAAAGTAGACAAATACGCAGCTCACATCACCAACTGCATATATCTATTCACTATTGCTTATGGAAGCAAGTAGATAGGACGGATCGAGCGAAGGGTGACTACTCGATTTTATGAGGATATTCTGGAAAACCGATGTCTGAAAGGTACCAAACAAGGTCTGTATCAGTGCAACCTCTAGAAATCTGATGGGAACAGAATATCAAACAGATATTTATCTATCGAAGAACATCATGTTCATTACGGTTTGTGGAAGATCTCATCATCAAACATTTTCAACCTAATCTGTGTACTGTATGTTGTTTTTTGCATATGTATGTAAGTATAATCTTTCACTTTCTTGATTGGATCATGTCTTCATGAATTACGTAGCCTAATAGCACTTTAACAACCCCATGTTTTATACTCTTGTCTGTTTTCACCTTCCTTCGCAACGTCTTTCCACAATTACAGAATTTTCTATTTCATTAAGTGTGTAAGTAAATTGTCATTGATTTTGACTAAGATTTGCTTCTTCAGCTCACTCACTATCATCTTATTGTTAATCCTGGATATCAAATCTCCATTTATTTATACATATTTAGAGTATCAGCATTATTGCTTGTATTATACCGTCGTTGACTGAACCAAATTGATTGGTCTCTATTGGCATATGGACTCCTAAGCGGATGCCTCGATATCGTCTGTGTTCGTAATTATGTAGTAATGATGGATAGTTACTAGCAGTGGAATTCAGGATGCACATTTCGTCCTATTTGGGACTCGTCAGTTGAATCCCATATGCCAATGGAGACTGGTTAATTCGGTCCAATCCACGATGATATAATACAATCAATTATACTAATACTATACTAGTCGCACAAAAACTGGCTCAATGGTGCGGTGGATAACGCTTTGGCTTTTGAAGCGATCGGTCCCAAGTTAGGATCCCGGTGGGAACAATATCAGTCACTGAGAGGCAGGTACATCCAGCTGCCTAGTGAGTCCCAAATGGAACGAAATATGCATCCTGAATTCCACTGCTAGCCATTATCTATCTTTTCAATCCCAGATAGTTAACACTTGATTTACTTTCTGCAGAAATACCATCAATGCAACATGCGTCATGAGATTTAAGCAGTTCACACGTCTTGTTTACGTCTTAGGCTAAAATGAACAGTCTAACATTTAGGAGGGTTTGACTAGAGACCATTAGGCAATTAGAGACATGAATCTATTTGATTGAAACCAATCTAGGTGAGAGTTGATTGGAATAGAGACCACGAGATCATCAACATACCTAATAAAATTAGTTTCAACATAATAAGGTGAGTCATGAGAAAACAATGAGAAGAGAAACGGAGAAAGTACAGTACCTTGAAGCACTCCGGCTTAAGTAAGTAATGAAGTGGAGCGCTTCCCTTTATAGAGAGTATTCTGTATCTTTTCAGAAAAATAAGAATTCATTCATTTAAACAACATGTTTCACTTATATGAATTCAAAATGACAATTATCTGTGCATGGAAGCATGAAAAAAGGCTCGTTTGTACTAAGTATTCAATCAAAATGAAATCAAGTTACTTATTGTATCCTTACTGCCGCTTGATATAACCTAAGTGATGTATATTTGAGACTCAACACTTGGAGAATTATTATCCCCGATAGGGGATGTATTTCAGCCTCAAAATATATCCACCATACAATAGTTTTGACCATTTCTAGGCCTAGCATATCTTATTGAATATTATCTGTTCAACCAGTCTGGTAATTACACATTAGTTCACATGTTATCTTTTGAGAATTCACTGCAACACAATTAGTTGTGAACACCTTCAGATGATTGATACCTTTTCATGAAGATCTTGACAAATTGATCACCCATTATCACAGTAGTATTCATCATAGGCTGAAGATACCCAACCAAAGACATCAACAACAAACACCAGTCTCTTTCATCTACCCACCTACCTAGGCAGCATCGTTTCAGCTACAGGCAGTGGAGGAGGCACAGATGAGGATGTCAAAGCCACCATTGGAAAGATGGCAAAACACGCATTCCCACATTAATCTGAAATCAGTGTGGAGATCTACTGCACTCCACTCCACTCAGCATAAAGCGTGAACAAGGTCCGGATTTTCAACACCAACATCAAGTCAATGCTTCTATATTGTTCATAAACATTTCCAACAAACTACAGACATTCATCAATAGCTACCGCCTACACTAGCTCCATACTGAAGGTGTGATGAGATGAGATGAGATGAGAAGGCGAGAAAGAATAGACAACAAGGAAGTCTTTCCTGTCAACGAACCAACCAAATAAAGCAAGAAGCTATCGCCTAACAACAAATATGCATACGAAGAAAGTGTAGATGGATTAGATTGTGCATAGACTGAGAAGATGATTTTAGGACATCACACATGAGACCAGGTGAGGATGTTGAGTGGAAGTGAAATGGGAAACGAGGAGTTGTGTATTCGAGGTGAGTGTGATATTGGAGGAGATGGTGTGAGGAAGAAATGAAAGTTTGTGGGTATTGGTGGAGCGGGGTGAAGAAGACTGAAGAGAAGAGAGTGAAATAGCGACGTGGTAGTGAAGCTGTATGTTCCACTAGGAACCGAAGTGACAAATAATAGCAATAATATATATATATATATATATATATATATATATATATATATATATATATATATACGGAGCATCATATTCTCTACACACAGGAGTGTGTTGACAAAGCACTACAAGTCCGTAATTGTTAGTTGGTTGGAATTCGTCATTAGAAAGCCCTGGAGCTAAATTTTAAGTCCTTAAGTATATTTTAAAGGGAGACGAATATCTTGAAAAGTTGATTGAATGAAATATCAGTTATAATACCTATAAACATTAATTAAGCCGAGTGTAGAATAAACTTTCACTTTTGTGTATCCACCTCATAGAAGATAATCTAAATGAAACTTTGTCATTGTTTTTTATTTAGATTAGTAAATCGAACATTGAGTTAACTCAATATACTCCTAATCAGGATATAAGAATATCTACTTGTATAGTTTGTTACAAATGAGATTAAATAACTTCGAATAGAAGCTACTAAATAGATTGTAACACATCGGATTTCAAGGATATTATCACTTGTCATTTGTTCACATATTCTTCATATACTCAATGTTTATAATCATTAGAATAAGTAAACATGAATTCAGCATTTAAACCTTACTCTTCTCCTTAGACTTTCATTGTCTAAACAGTATTCCATAGAACTCTTTTTTGTTTCCCTTTTGCTTCACCTCCCTTCTTCTATTAAGCCTTTAAACCTCTTGTTAGTATTAATTTTATTATCCTAACCAATTTCATATTTTATTTTTATGGTAAACTCATATTGTTCTTTATACTAATCAGTCAGTCAATACTACTTGATCGTTAGTTACTTTTCCCTATGCTGTAAACAATCAATCAGTTGATATTCTTCAGCTTATCACCTTGATTGATTTATGCATATATCAGATACATTATTGATGGATACTGGATAGGCTTGAATCAAGTAATGATCATTTTGAAATACCAGAACATTAGCTAATAAACTTCATAGAGTCATAATGACCTATTCAAATTATAATTTATAATCCACTCCGAAAATCTCGTCACCGTAAACTTACCTGTTAGAGTATGCTGACAGATTTGATTTGATTAACTGTAGAACATTGTTACTATTATTATTATTTGTCCCTTGGGTTCCTAGTGGAACATAGAGCTTCAATAGCACGTCTCCAGTGCATTCCGTTCTCTGAAATCTTTTGAACCTGGCTCCACGACTACCCACAAGCCCTCGTTTCTTCCTCACACAATCTCCTACATGCCACCCTCACCTCGGACGCCAAACTCGTCGTTTCCCATCTGGGTTCCACTCGATGACCTGATCTGGCGCATGATTCCCCTGAATGGTCTTCTCAGTGTGTACCCAATCCATCTCCACTTCCTTCTGAATATTTGTTGAGCGATAGGTTCTTGGTTGGTTCGTTGCCAGAGTTTCTTATTGCTTATTCATTCTGGCCATCTGATATTCAGCACTGAGTGTAGGTGGAGGTTGTTGGTGAATATCTGTAGTTTGTTGGAGATGCTTTTCGTAACATATCAAGTCTCTGAACCACATAGAAGCACTGACTTGACGTTGGTGTTGAAAATTCGGATCTTGTTCACGCTTTATGGTGAGTGCAGTGCAGTAGATCTCCACACTGGTTTCAGGTTAATGAATGCCTGCCTTGCTTTTCCGATCCTGGCTGGATTTGATGTCCTCGTCTGCGCCACCTGTAGTTTAATCGATGCTGAGTAGATAGGTAAAAGAGGCTACTTCCTTTAAGTTTCTCCCGTTGATGGTGATTGGAGCTCGTTGTTGGCGGTGGTGGCGTTGGTCCGGTATCATCAAATCCTTCATCTTCTCTACGTTCACTTGAAGTTCCATCTTCGCTGACCTGACTCTTCTGTCAACTTGTTAGTTTTCGCCCATTATTCCACAACCTACTAAGATTTGGAAATCCATGTATGCCTCACTGTTTACTGTATAACCTTGAAATGTATTTAAGTTCGATTTCTAACTACCAGTGAAATCAGTTTACACTTAAGAAACTTGTATACAGTATATTATTGTTTTTATATCATACCGTCGTTGATTGGACCAAATTGATCAGTCACTATTGGCATATGGACTCCTGTGCGGATGCCTCGATATTATCTGTTCTCTTATGATAGCAATGATGGATAGTGGCTAGCAGTGGAATCCAGGATGTGCATTTCGTCCTATTTGGGACTCGTCAGTTGGATGTACCTGCTTCCCATTGAGTGATGTTGTCCACATTATCATTACTATCATTATACCACAGGTAATATCGAGGCGTCCACACGGAATCCAATATGCCAATAGAGACCAACCAATCCGGTCCAACCAACGACAGTATGATATAAAAAAACAATTATATACTAAAAACTATACCCGTCGCACAAGAAGTGGCTATCGTGGCTCGATGGTGTATTGAATAACATTCTGGCCTTTGAAGTGATCGCTCCTCAGTCTGAGTTCCAGTGAGAACAACATCACCCACTGGGAAGCAGGTAAATCCAGCTGAAGAGTCCCAAATAGGACGATATGCGCATCATGGATTCCACTGCTAGCCACTATCCATCATTACTATCAAACTTGTATACAGTACATAATTATGAGGTTTATGTTTTCTTTCCTCTCTATTTATAATGAAACGAAATTGTCCAATGCAGATTATTTAGCCAATGAAGAACCAGTTGGACATTTAACTTTACAAGTAGAAATATTTAAGCATCCTGGTACCGGTGAATATAAAGTCAATGTGAAAAGTAAGTTAATAATATTATTACTTTTTATAATTTGAAGATCCTCGTTAACTTTTTTCTAAGAAAATAATTTGAGTAAATAATCTTGTTTTCAATCACTTCTTCTTCAGCTTATACGGTTTAATACCCATAAGAATAAATGAAAAACAACAAGTAGATACAAGGCATGATGTATATACAATTATTACCATAGGGAAACAAGTTAGTAGTCAATGTTACACATGTGGTGAACAGAGATCAAATCGAATGGAATGGTTAATAGTCTAGTGTGTTAATTGTGCAGTAGAATCATTATTGTATTGATTGGTTACGGGAGTGCAATCAATTCTATGTTGTTTAGTTCTGAGTGTAGATCGAATCGTATCGATCACATTTGCAATATGGCCACCAAGCTAGAAGGCTCAGTATCACAGTTCATATTAGTAGATTTTAGTTGGTTGGAAGCAATTTGCAGGAAGCCCTAGACCTAGGTTTCGTGCTTGTTGGCAGTTGTCAGCAAGGCGTATCTGCAACCTCGATGGGATTGATGTCCCATCTGGGGTTCGAATCCCTGTCATTCCATGTTGTAGTCAGCCATTTTACCACTAAGCTATTCGGGACGCGATTCACTATTGACAGAACAATTATGAAATGAGGAGATAAAATCTACAGATAATGATTCACTTATACACATTTATTGAGGGCATGAATTTGCGAAACGGCGAGTTAGGCGTCCCATGGTGACATGTAGGAGATGGTATGAGGAGGAAATGAAAGGTTATGGGCAATTGTGAAGTCAGGTTTAAAATACTGCAGAGAAGAGAGTGAAATGGCGGTGTGCTGATGCTCTATATTCCACTAGGAACCCAGAGGAGAAATAATAATATTCTGTAAATGGTGTTTTCATAAGGTCATTGGAAAAAAGTGATCACCTATTATCCACATGAATTGAAGGGATGAGTCAAAGAATATGTTCATGAATTACGCAGATGTTACATCTTGTTTCTGCACAACTAGTGCTTCAAGCCGATTGTTTCCAACCAATTAACATTCACTTCTTCGAGATGAGTTGCCCTCAAAGCACAAAGAAGATGAGTGATCCGAATTGAAGGTTTATTTCAAAGAGTGTTTATGTATACTAGACAACTCATAATATTTAGAATGTTCTAGAGTAGCTGACGTAACCAGTAACATGTAAATAAATGTATAGAACAATGATCTACATTGCTTGTATCCGGCATATTGCCAGTTTAAGTTTAATGTTCTATGACTAGCATTGATGATCATTATTCTCTCCAAACAGTGTGAGTGAAATGATTCATTTCGAGAGTGGTTTCAACTAATCCCTCCACTTATTATGATAATTGACTTGATTGTAACTGATAAGGGAATCCAGGACGTTGGTTTCATTTTATTTGGAACTCATCGGTTGGACGTGCCTGAACCACAGTGTGTGTTTTTATTCCCACTGAAACACGTTAGTGCCAAATCTTATACAATAAGCATCAGATATTATTATCTGTTGATATACTTGTAATTCTGCATTGTTTTACTGCATAGAACTGACATATGGGCTCCTGTTTGTGGATGCCTTGATATTGTCTGAATATTTATTGTTAGAAGCTTTTGGGCAGTCGTGGCGCCAGGTTCAAAAGACTAAAGAGAACACAGTGCAACAAAGCCCTATGTCCCACTAGGAATCCAAGGGGAAAAATAATAATAATTTGTTAGAATTGACTCGGTTATGTCTAGCAATGGAATTAATCCAACCAGGTAATAAAGGATTACAAGTAATCATCTTAAGCTCCATATTAAGCTTACATAACAACATACCGGATAACATCAGTGCTCTGTTAGTTATACAATAGGTTGTGTTACTATTCCTCAGACAGATTTTACATTCCTATCAATGAACATTATCTCCCTGAAAATCTCTCTTATAATTCACCCAATTAAAGCAAGGCAATTATCTGCGAAACTTTCCTGTTTCTTTTTTTTCCCCTCCTTTCCAGTTCACACAGCCTCTGATTTGAACTGGTCTCTTGCTTCAGGAATGTTTAGACCATTTGTAGAAGTTTTCATGTTTGGCCCATTATTATCTGATCGTAAACGAAAAGCGGCAACAAAATCGAAATCAGTTACTACAATGCCTGCCTATCATGAGACATTTGTATTGTAAGTTCTCATGTTTGTTGATTTTCTTCTTTATATAAAAAGATACCGATTCTATCAATAATATGATAATTATTACTAATTGGGTAATTCTGAACTGTTGAATAACTAATAAGATTCTTTTCAGTGCATTGATCTACTTTACTTATCGATTCAAGGAAACGAAATAAGAATTGAATCCTGATTGTTTTGTAAACTCCTATTATTGGATATATATATATATGGGTAATGTTTGAAGATGAGATAAGAATTTGACTTGTGACAAGAATAGAATCATTGACTTCCAAAATACCACTTCAGTACTCTGCCAGTTAAGCATCAAAACCATGCTAATGATTAGATTATTTTTTTGCATCAAAACTTCATTCACCTTATGGTTAAAAGATTTTGTAAGAGAGTGATATAAAAATCTCACTAGCTAGATATAAGAAGACATTTCTTTTCCCTCAGTGACATCATAACACTATTCTGGGTGGAACAGAGAAAAGCTGAATCACTGTTGTTCACCAGATACAAGAGATTATCTTGTTTGATGTTGCTGACTACTTATCTTACTATGACTGATAATACATCCTAACAGTCTGCGAACAATATGAACCTAATGCGCAAATGAATCTGCTCTAATCACATAACGTCAACCACGACAACAACAGTACCACTGGCATGTGAAGACACGCAGTGAAGATAGACCGTTGACAAAGAGTTGTTACTGTCTCAACAACAGTAAAAAATAGTTGACAGCAATGCTGCATATATATATATATATATATATATATATATATATATATATATATATATATATATATATTCTAAACGACCTTGACAGACAATAAATTCATTGAAAAGTTGAACGAGTTAACAACCAATGAGAGTTTAGGCTTGAGAAGGATTAGTGATTAGTGCTAAGAGAAATAGTTGTCCCAACACAACATAACCTCACTTAATGACTTTGAAAGAAATTCTAATCTAAGAACGGATAAGAAGTACACCGGAAATTCAGTGTATACCAAGCTACCATTGAAAAGAGATGACATACACCACATCATCATTCAAAATCTTGATATAATGCTGCAAAATTAGTGTTTCCTATCACTCCGAAGCTGGTTACTAGCATGATCCATGGGGAAGGGGATAGAAGGTCTCACTGTAAATATCAATCGACTCAAATGTGTTTTTGGAAGAAAATATATGAGTTGTACTCAGAGGCAGCGCTATCTACTTGTACAGCTGATCAAATGGCCACATCTTTGCGAAGTAAAGATTTTGACAAGCTTCATAGCTAAACATCCTCAAGTCTATGGACATGATGTCATCTGTGTCAAAACGGAATAAGATGTTGCTTGCAATTGTAGAAGCCTGTACAATTTGTTGGCCGGACAAATCAACCCTTCATGTACACAGGGACTTCGAAAATCATTCCACTTTATTGTTTGCATTCACGTTTGTTCGTCTCTTTCTGCCTGGACTCCTGATCAACTTGAAGAAGCAAAGGAAGGAAACACTCCAACAGACAAGATTACATACTTCCTTTGCACACACATGTACACACACAAAGGTCAAGCCGGCTTTAGTTCATGGATAATCAAGGCCTTTGTGGTTTTTAGAAGTTGAAGATCAAGGAAATGTGAGATGTTTCAGCGAACTCGATAGACAACTTTCAAACCATTGTCAGCGGTCGGTTGAATGGTTGGAATCGATTAGACGTTCAAGGATAGAACTTCTCAGGGATTTTCTTTCACCCTTATAAAGGCAAGCAGGAATATGTTGTCGTATACATACAGACGACAATCCCTGACTACAGCCGATTCACGTTGTTCCATAGCAGCAGGGGAACTTGTGGATACACATGGAAGTGGTCTGTCAAGGGATATTGTCTTTTACACATATGGAGAACAATTTACGACTAGTAAAGATGAAATGAAGCTTGGGGATGTTTTATACTGCATCACCATTTAGACTTCAGATTGTTAAAGAAAGTCCCCTTGGAAACTGAGCTGTTGGCTAGTTTCTCATGTCTTTCTTGCATGTTCTCATCAATAGATCGGTTAAGATAGCTGTTTCCCACAAGCGTCCTTCTTAGAAAGTCAAGTTCAACTTGAACATGGTCTATGCTACACTTATTGCATATTCGATAACGAAGTGAGTGAATGAGGTGTCTTTTGTTAATGATCAGAACCCAACTGTCATAAACTAACAACATTATTATTACTATAACCACCATTATTGTTATTTTAATCTTCAATTATTTAGGTCAAATCTTCGTCACAGACTGCAGTCTTTAAATATCGTATATTTATATACGAATGTGTAGCCTGAGAATGAACTGACTGAAAGTAGTCCTCTTTGTTGAATATTCTCCTTTAATATTAATATTGTCTAGTTGTAGTATGTCATCAATCGACTAAAATCGGAAAGCATAATTCATTAGCTCCCGACTTGTTGGCTGATAGGTAACATCCTACAGTGTTAAAAACTAACAGTTGAGTGAATGGAAGGAAAGACTGGTAACTGGATCTCTATATTAGATTTGTTTATTTGATATAAAGCGCACAGTGATACAGTATTATTTAATTGATTACGTTTCAAGCATAAATTATTACTGCTCATAATCATATCAATGTAATCACACTTCTTTCGACATCTGATTTTATAGTCCTGTCACCTGATCTCTCTTTGTTTTTTGATTGGTAGTAAAGTTTTCCATATCTCTGGTATAGGTGTTGCGTCATTCCTATTCCACATGTGTTGGGTGTGGATTAGATGAAGAAAGATTAAGTAATTAATCTCTCTCTCTCACTCTCTCGACCGTATCACTGTGCACTATATATCAAATAAACAAATCTAATATGGAATTACATTCTACCACAGTGCCCAAGTTTTTCACTTATATTTCTGGCTCACTTGGGATTTTGCCCATCGTTAATGTTTACAACGAGTGAAATGCTTATGGAGATGATAATGGCATCTTTGAAATCAACAGTTTCTCCTGAATACAATTTGATAAGAAAGTATCATTATGTAATTGTCAAGAATAACCACCTTCAGTTAAAATTACCCTCGACTCACTAGACCTTGTCACTATGCCATTAATTGTCACTTTATGTTCATGGTAAATGAAACATTCTGGTGTATAGTACTCATAATTACGTATATAAGTAGTATCTATCGTGATATCGCTGGAATAAAATAAAGTATAACATATTCAACTGCAGAAATCTCCCATACGTTTGTTGCTTGTTCATAGATTGAAATATTTTCATCCAGTGTAACTTAGTTTTTATGCATCATCGGTTAACTATTCTGAAATTGAATTTTGAAATGTATGAGGATTTATTTATTGATTTCCGCTTGATATTTATCATGGACTAACTGACATCAGTTAGAGAAGCATTGAACAGTCGTGTGTTTCCTTCCACTATGAGACTACTCAGCAGTAGGCACCCGGGGTCGAACCCATGGTCTTCAGGTTCTATGATTAGCAGATAACCATTGAGCCAATGGGTTGGAATCATTTGTCAGTTTACGATATAGTGCAATCTCTATCTAATCCCATCGGTGAGTTACTGTCCTCATGCTCGACTTCGTTGGCGTCACCGGTGAGTCACTAATTATCAGTTTGGTACTCATTATGGACTGATTGATTGTCTACTTTTTAGTGTTTCTTCTTTTACTTTTGTTTTAACGCTTTCAAACAGTTTCCTATCAAATCAAAGTGATCCAGAATGGTATGAATTACATTTAGCTGTGAAAGATTATTGTTTTGGTAGAACAGATCGTCTTGTCGGTGTAACTGTTCTATCATTATCTAGAGCATTAAATCTTGGTGCAACACCAATTCGACTACCATTAGGTCGACGTTTACACTTTACAGAAACAGGTTGGACAGTATTACGTGTTCTTTCACAACGTGTTAACACAGATGAAGTGGCTAGAGAGTTTGTTCGTGCCAAATCAGAATATCGTGCACCATCTGAGAATGATAATATTTCAATACAACATACTGATGAGTAGATTACTATCAATGTGTATTTTATAAACAAGAGCTAAACTGAACTGAAACTGACAGCAACAACAACAAAAATAGAGAAGTCGAAATTACCATTACAGTATTTTTCATGATTTCTTTCATTCCCCTTTTTATTATGTATAATAAATTTATCTAAACATATACAAGCAGATCAGCGCCTTTTTGTACTCCTCCTCCTCCTACTATTATGATTATTCTTGTGGCTTTAATTGATTATTACATGTATAATTACTTTTTGTATTCAAGATAATAATCGATAACTATTAATGATGCTTATCTTACTCACTTACGCACATTATGGATACAAGCACACATTCAATTACATTCGATAACATAGCATAACATAGCATTACAATACAGATATCCTATTCACATTCATCACAGATGCATACCCATAAATCGATACTCTTATGCATACAACATACATCAGAAGCATAAATGGACAAACAGGACTATTTCACACACACACACACACACACATACACGGTAGATATACGTATTATCAACAGATGGGAAATGCCAATTGCTTTCCTAAGAGTCACTTGTTATTATTGATTTATTTATCGATCTCCTTTTCTGAAAGATGAAGAACAATAAAAGAGTTTATTGAATAACTTATTATTATCCATTACTGTTGAATAGGTAAGATGCATAGAGGGAAAAAGTTTCGTTTTGATTTGAAACTGATTCATCAGCAAGATGAATCTACTCCCAAATTAGTGTTATTCTTCCCAGGGAGAATTTGATCTGAAGTCCTAACTACCTACCAACACACCTGCCTACCTACCTACCTTCACACCTGCCTACCTACCTATACACCTACCTGCCTGCCAACACACCTGCCTACCTACACACCTACCTACCTGCCAACACACCTGCCTACCTACACACCTACCTATCTATCTACTTACATACCTGCTTGCCAATAAATGCCGAAATATGTTTAAAATTAGTCATACAGCTTCTTTCAAACATCTAACCGGTTAGTAATGTTGTGAAAATAAAACACGATTGACTTTCATATGTTTTTCAAGTTGTTATTCATCGAAGACTGACATCAGTTGGAATATTTCCAATCTCCACAACCCCCTCAAAATTTATTGAACTAGTGCTCGTTAGTGACTAGCTCGAGAAGTATTCCCGAAGTTCCAATGACAAGTCGTGACGGTGGAGTCAAGCCTGATGGCCGTGAGGACAAATACTCAACGATGACATTGGGTGGCGGTTTGCGCTATATCGTGAGCTAACAGAAGTTGGAAATGTGGAGCATTGGATTCTGACCAGTGGCTCAATGGTAACGCGCTGGTCGCGGAACCTGAAGGTCGCGGGTTCGATCCCTGCTGGTGGGGTCGTGGGTGCGCACTGTTGAGGAGTCCCATACTAGGACGAAACAGCTGTCCAGTGCTCCCAGGTTTCCTTTGTTCCTCCAACTGATGTCAGTCTCGATGAATAACAACTTGAAATATTTCCAAATCTCCACAACTCCCTCAAAATTTAATTTCATATGGTTATCGGAATGTGTATGTGTGTGTGTGTGATGTTGTATTTCATTCGGCTATGAAATATGCTCTGAATACTAGGATGTTGGTGTTTACCATTTAGCATAGAAAACAATTTTTCACTTCTAAAAAAAACACTTACAGTCAATATACCGATAAAATTTTTGTAGAATGGATACAAAAATATCTGATTATTCTGTATATTCTTTCTTAAAAGAAGTAGATTTTTGTCCAAGAAGTAGAATAAAATCTAAGTGAAAAAAAAATTTAGAATTCTATTTTATTTTTAATAAAAAGGGAAAAGAAAGTGAAATTCACGTGATCATAAGGTTGAAGTATCTTGAACTCAATCAAATTTCAAGAAGTTAAATGATGCGCTATAACAGGACAGAATTTGTATGATAAGATGATATCATTTTATTGCATAAGAGTTTCGTCAGCTGCATACAATGTGAAAAAAAAACAACAAAAAAACAATAAAGAACCAATCAGATTCATCTTAGTGACTAGTAGAGAAATTTACGACTTGTGTTTCATCTTAATTGGGAGTCATTCACTATCTGGATGTACCTTCACCCAAATGACTAATATTGTTCCCACCAGGGAGACTGAAGCCTGGAATCCATCACACATGAGTAAACAATAGTGCGTCGATCATTTTGGCGTTTTATAGCAGTAGGAAGTTATAACAATCAAGATAAATAAAAAAGATAATCATTTTGAACAAAGTTAAGCTAATGAACCTTCAGATATTAGTTAATATTTCGAAGATGTGAGACAGATAGTTTTACTAAGTATCAATCTAGACTTGTTGATGTTGTCAAGTAATATTACACTTGTCTGCTTGTTCTTTATCTCCGAACTGCTGTCTGAAGACTATTGATTGATAGAGCTAGGAGAACCTCTCTCAAATAGCTTAGATCTACATGACACCTCTTTACTAGTGGTGTTTAGACAATCAAAAAATGCATAACACCGTTAGGTTGATGAAACTTATTTTCTCTATATGATCAATTCATTATATCATAAACTTTCTTATTGGTTATCGCAAAAGCTTAGAAGAATCCTTTGAATTCACTCAGTTAATGAAGCATTTCAGTATGATGGATAAGTTCATGACATCATATGATATGGCGTCTTTTTTTAATAAACATACTCTTTCATCAAATTATGATGAACCAGTGCAGTACGGGGAGGAACAACGAAGAGAGGAACTGAACACAACCTATAAAACATTGAACAAAGAAGTGAAGAAGAGTGCACGCAAAGACACTTCTATGACACACTTGCAAATGAAGCAGAACAGGCTGCTGGTAGGAGAGACCTCACAACATTATATCAGATAACCAAAATACTATCTGGGAAGAGATCAACACAGCACACATGAAACCAATAAAAGATAATGAAGGAAACCTAGTTACCAGAAAGAATAAATAAACGCAGAGACAACAGAGGACATGATCTTACTACTACTGCAGAAGGTTTAGAAGGAAGGGAAGGTACTTGCAGATTGCAAGAAGGACTACCTTATCAAACTCCCGAAGGAGGGAAACTTAAGTCTTTACAAGAACTGGTGCAGAATCATGCTCCTGTACACACCAAACAAAATATTATGCCCCATCATCCTAGAGAGACTAAAGGGTGCGCTGGATTCAAAATTACGACCGGGACACGCTGGATTTAGGAAATACAAATCATATGCGGATCAAATTCCAACGCTAAGCATCACCATAGAACAAAGCACAGAATGGAAGTCCGCTGTACCTCAAATCCATCGACTTTGAAAAGGACTTCGACAGAGCCGAGGGAGAAGTATTTTGACAGATGCTTCAACACTACAGTTTTAGTCCCACAAACTTTTATCAACAGCTATATACAATGTGATGCTACATACCAAGTGATTCATAATAGAAACCTCAGTGATGCCTTTGAAGTGAAGACAGATTGACAGATAAGACAATGTTGCCGCCTACTATCCCCAATGACCTTCCTGATTGCGGTTGACTGGACTGGATCGTGCAAGAAACAACTGTGACGAACTGTGAAAAGATGGGCATACGCTGTTTGACTGATGAAAAGACACCAGAAGATTTGGATTTCGCCCATTATGATTTATGTCTAATGTCTTATGTCGCACAAACTCGAGGATGTAAAGGCGAAAACGAACAAGTTGGTAGAAGAAAAGAGGCAGGGCAGCGAAGATGGAACTTCCTTCAAGTGAACGTAGAGAAGGCACAGATAATGAAGATACCCAACCAACAACACTAACAACAAGCACTAATCACCATCACCTAGGCACTATCGTTTCAACTACAGGCGGTAGCACAGATGAGGACGTCAAAACGAGGATGAGAAAGACAGCAAGACAGACCTTCACTTCTCTGGGATCAGTGTGGAGATCTACTGCATTACACTCCACTCAGTATAAACAACAAGATCCTAACTTTCCCCACTGATGTCAGTCAAGTAAGTTAGTGCTTCCATGTGATGGTTGAGAAACTTAGCACCTTACGAAAAGCATTTCCAACAAACTACACACATACATCAACAGCCACCGCCTGCTAGGAGGAACTCACTCTGGCAACGAACCAACCAAGAACCCATCGCCCAACAAATATACACAAGAAGAAAGTGTAGATAGATTGGATTTGACTTACACTGAGATCACTTGGAGATTTCACGCGCCAGGCTATCGAGTGGAACCAAAATGGGAAACTATGAGTTGGGTGTCCGAGGGTGACATATATGAGACGGTGTGAGGAAGAAATGAAGGCTTGTGGACAGTGGTGGAGCCAGGCTGAAAAGACTGGAGAAAGACAGTGAAATGGCAACGTGCTAGCGAAGCTGTATATTCCACTAGGAACCCAAAGGCCAAATAACAATAATTCTTCGAACTGTGGACACACAGGAGATTTCCTATTACTGAAGGGGGAGTTATTACACTGTAATTTCATGTGTACCAAATACATTCACTTCCAATTTAACAACGTTTTTTGCTGACAAGTTGACAGAGTAGTGACCTACGGTCCATAATGCAACCAGTAATAGCTGACAGTAGTTGTTAGATAAGGGAAGTACCACCCTGTAGTCTACAATTAAAGTTTGTTTTATTCAAGGTGAGTTGATAACAACATGTTTGTTGCATGTAACACTACTTCCTGAGGTTCAATAATATCCACCTGCACCTTTGCCGCACCCAAACATTAACTTCCCAATAGAATCTTAGCAGAAACAGAAGTTCAACTTTCTCGACGTATGTATAAAACGCAAACAAGCGTTCCAATGTAATGATGTAAGGAAACAGAGAATTTACGAACGGATCACAAGTATACCCACAGTTTGGCAGTTATCTACTTGTGAAACTTGTCCTGCTGAATCAAACAGTGTGATTCACTTATGTTATGACTTCAGTGGATCTAACTGATCTCTGTACTGGTCCTTCCAAATCGCCTGTAATTTTAGTTTTGCTGGTAATGATGAATAGTAGCTAGCAGTAGGGTCTAGGATGTGCGTTTCGTCCTGTTCGGGACTCTTCAACTGGGTGTACCTGACTCCCAGCAAGTGGTGGTATACCCACCTAAATTTGAAAATCGTCAGACAAGGGGTGACTGTTACCAACCAGTTTAGCCGTTTGAATCGATGAGAACACCATTACTCACTAGGAGGCAGATATATCAAGCTGACGAGTCAATCTTAAATAGGATGAAACACACCTCCATGGTTGCCCCACCTGCTAGTCATGACATATCTGATGAGGTTAAAACAAAACTTACAGTTATACTGAGGGACAGAAGCCAACAGTGGCCGACTCATCCAGCTTACAAATGGACTGACATCATTTGAGGAGGCAATGGGGGACTCCTCGGCAACCTGTATCCATAACCCCACCAGGAACCGAACTTCGGATTGTCAGGCCTCATGGTCAGCTGCTGGGTCGCAGTCCAGTGGTCCACATTTCTTTACTTCTGTCGATTTGAGATTTAACGTGACTATTACCTAATATCATTGGAGAGTAGCTGTCCTCACGTCCGACTTGGTTTGTCCCGCCGGTCACGATATCTTAGTTGAATTTAAGGCTCTCTGTTGGGTATTACACTTACATATCCTTTCTGTTCCAT